GTGACACCCTATATGTGAACTCTAGCATTTAGAGGCTGCCATCATGGTGAAGAGATGATAGGTATTGAGGGAAATAGCATGCGCATCTTTCGCATCAAATTGTCCTGACCCCACTGGTCGAGAGTGAGTGATTCATTTTCATTTTCTATATGCTCTTGTACCCCGGTGAGGACCTAGATTGCTCGGTCTCTATTATGATGTCTTGAGTTGGATGCATGAGTTGACTGTTTTGAGTAAGTGGTTGAATCAAGTCTAGGTTGGCCAGTGAACAGAAGGGAGACTCTTCCTGTACTCAATTTGCTGCACTCGAATGTCCTTTGTGGTGGTTGTCCAGGTTGTTATTGAGGTTGTGCATGTATTGATGTTTGAAAACCAGTGCGATTCACGTGTTTTGTGCCTTTATGACTTGTCCCCAATGTTGGTTGATTGAAATATGTAAGCTTACCTAGTGTCTGACTTGGTTTGCTTGGGGACAAGCAAACGGTCAAGTGTGGGGGAGTTTGATAGACCGTCATTTACACATATTTTTACCCCCGTTCTTACACCGTTTGAGGTGTTGATTCTCGTGTTTTAGGTCGATTTCACGCTAGGTTGTGCTTGTTTGTGATATTTCAGGTCCTAGTACGTGAATGAAGGCTTAGGAGCGAGTCTGGGGTCGATTGGACGAAGAACGGACGAATGGCGAGCTGTTTGGGGAGTGCACGGGCAGACCAGGGAGGCTGCACGGCCGTGCACCTGAGCCATATGGCCGTGCGCCTCTGGCCGAGGCCGAGCACGGGCTGGCCGAGATCCCTGCATGGCCGTGCACCTGGCCGTGCAAGAAGCCTGAGGCCGACTAAATGGTACGACTGCGTTTTGGACTCGCACGGCCAGAATGGTGATGTGCACGGCTGTGCACCCTGGCCGTGCAAGTCGGGAAAGCCTGTTTTAGAGCCTATTCCGAGCCAGAAGTGGGAGAATCGTGTTTTTCAGAGCAAAAACAGAGCCCTAGAGAGAGAAAGTGCGAAGAACACATCCTAGAAGCTGTCCTAGAGCTGGATTTCATCGAATCGAGCCTGGAGATAGTCATAGGAGTGAAAATCATCGTCCCGGAGCAGATTATCCTCATCGTTATGAGTATGACTAATCCGATTCTTGTTTTCTCTTCTCTCTCTATGGAGTAGAACCCTTCTCTCACTTGGGTATGAAGAACCCTAGTTCCTTGTGTTAGGGATTTGATTGTAATGACTTGGGATGATATTACTGTTTGATTTTAATCGAATGACGCATGTTTAATGAATTGATTTGAGTCTGATCAGCTTGTCTCAATTTCTGCTGCAACCTGAGATAGATAGAATCTGATTAGGTTGTTAGAGCCTCTTCATTCGATAGTAGGAGATTGGCTATACGAGAGTTAGCCAGTTTACTGCTTTGTACTGGTGTTCTTGGCGCCAGTAGTGGAGTTCTGTGTTCATAGCCTCAGCTTTCTATCCCGGTGAAGACTAGTCGTCTGCCGGGTAGTTAGACTGAGAGGGCTTGGTCAGCTTAAGAGATTCCAAGCTACTGTCGGATCTTCCGCAGTCTAATCAACAGTAAATCAACCCAGGGAATTGCAATTGAACCTAACTAAGGGGCTAGGGGGACTCAATCCCGAGTGACTCTTGCCTGCTTTAGAAACCGAACAATTTACTGTTTTCTTGTTGCTTTTACTTTTCGCAACAATCACTCGAATTAGTTTGCTAGATAATAGAGAATCACGGAGTAAGCAGTAGATCTAGACCCCGGGTTGATAATTAAACTTGCCTGTTACTGCATTCCCGGACTGCGATTACACTTGGTCGCAGTTTGGTGTTGTGTTTTGGCGTGTCAGTGGTCTACGACCATTTTTGCATTTCCTAGCGGTTCACGGTCACCTTGCCCATAGCAATCACTTCGATTCACATGCCATGGTAGTAGTTAGGGGGAAGCTACACCCGAGTGATCCTTCTCACAAAGAGCTTTCAAAACCATTTACTTTTGCTTTGTTTTACTTTAATTAGCAAAATTTTCAACCAAAACCGATTTGCTAGATAATGTTTCGAACAATTGAAGTACGGGTACAAAGACCGGCCCGAATCGATATTTAAACATACTTGCCCTGTGTTGCACCCAACTAAGGTTTATACTCGGACCTTAGGCGGGAATTTATTGTGATATTCGGGACGAGTCGTTGAGTCTGCTTTGTACTTCTTCCCAAGAAGGATCATCATAAATTGGCTACCAAGACAGTTCAGAGTGTCTTCCTGGGGTACAGTCATCAACGCAAAGAATATTTGTGCTATGATCCAGTTGCCATGTGTTTTTTCTTGAACACTAGATGTACTACCATGGTGAGCGCCCTTCGCCTCCTAGATCTCTGGTCTTTCTCGTCTCGCTGACCATTCTTGATGCTTCCCCTCTGCACATTCCCCTATTGTCTCCCGCCGCATCCTCTCCTTCCACTGCTTCATCGTCCGGTTCTGGTGCTTCTATGGAGTCTTCATCAAGGTCCAGCTCTGCAAACAATTCCTCTGCTTGGCACACCACCTCCTCTCCCTGTTCTCCGTCGTTCTCTTCGCACCAATCTTGTTCATCCTCCAGCTCGCCTACATGATTATGTTGGCTTTTCTGCAGAGTTGATTCCTATTCTGTCTCATTATCATTTTGCCAAGGACAATCCTCTCTGGGACGCAACCATGCAAGCCGAGTTTGATATTCTTGAGGCGAATCATACGTGGGATGTTGTTCCTCGCTTTCCTGGTGCTCTGGTTATTGGCTCTTGGTGGGTTTATAATGTCAAAATGCACCCTGATGGTTCTTTGGAGCGGTGTAAGGTTAGGGTTGTTGCCTAGGGTTTCCGTCAAGAATATGAGATTAATTATGAAGAGACCTTTGCTTCGGTCGTGAAGATGCATACGGTTCTCAGTGTTCTTGCCGTGGCTGCTCTTCGCCAGTGGGATTTGCATCAGTTTGACGTTAAGAATACTTTCCTTCATGGGGATTTAAGGAAACAATCTATATGGAACCTCCAAAAGGCTACTCTAAGGGGGCCCGGGTGTGATGTTGCATCTTAGACGTTTTCTTTATGGCTTAAAGCATGCACCACGTGCTTGGTTCGAGAAGTTTCATGGTACTATCCTGCAGGCTGCCTTCTCCAGAGTCAGAATGATTTGTCTATGTTTATTCGTAATACAATCCATGGGATTACAGTTATGCTACTGTACGTGGATGATATGATTGTAACAGGAAGTGATAAGGATGAAATTCGAGAGTTAATTGCGTCATTGCATCAGGCCTTCAATCTTAAGAAATTGGGTGCTGCTTCTTAATTTTTGGGATTGGAGATTAGGCAATCAGATTCTGGTATATTTGTTAGCCAACAAAAATACATATTTGGTTTGTTGGAATCGGCAGGGATGGAGGATGGACGGGCATGTGCCACTCCCATGGAGCAGAATTTCAAATTGAACAGAGATTCAGGAGAGTTGTTAGAAGATCAGACTTTCTACAAGAGTGTGGTTGAAAGTCTGATCTATTTGACGCATACTCGACCAGATATAACATATATAGTTCAGGTGATAAGTCAGTTTATGGGAGTAGCACGGATTGCTCATCTTGATGCAGTGAATAGATTACTGTGATATCTCAACCACACAAAGGATATTGGTCTCTTCTTTCCTGCAAAAGGCGAGTCGATGATAGAAGTTGTTGCTGCTGCTGATTATGCAGGATGTCTTGACACCAGAAGATCGACTTCTTGTTGGTGTGTACGTTTTGGCCAATCCTTTGTCTCTTGGAGCTGTCGGAAGCACGACAGAGTTTCAAAGTCCTCTGTTGAAGCAGAGTATCGATCAATGTCAGAAGTTAGTTAAGAGATGGTTTGGTTACAACGAGTCTTGCAGGAGTTGGGTGTCCAGTGCAAGATGCCTATGCGCATCTATGGTGATAATACGAGTGCAATACAGATTGCAGTCAATCCTCACTTGCATGATAGAACAAAACATATTGAGGTCCATGTTCACTACACCAAGCAGCTTGTATCTGAAAGAGTTATTCAGATCAGTCATTTGTCAACAGAAGACCAGACTGCAGATGTTTTGACGAAGGCATTAGCATTCAGTAGACATTGGTATCTTTTTAGCAAATTGATGTTGCGCACTCAACATCAATTTGAGGGAGGATGTTAATTATGTGGGTTGTTCTGTAATTTACCCTAGGTCGAATTAGCTAGGATAAAGCGGATACTATAAGTATCCTTATATTACTTGTAGCTCGTTAACAAAGTAATAAGAAAACTACAGCATGTGAGGGAGATCCTCACCATGGACTAGTGTCATACTGACGATACCACGTTAAAATACTTTGGTGTTATTTCTCTTTTAGCTTGATTTCTTGAAAGTCCCGAGCTTCTTGATGCCGCCATTGGAGGGGAGTTCAGAGAGGGAGTTGGGGTGTTGATTGGGTTCCACCGCAGGCGGAGCTGGGTTGTTTGATTAAATTGAGGAGTTCCGATGAGAAGGGGTAGAGAGTTTGGGGAAACCTATGGCGGAGTTGGTGAATAATCCTCCATCGCCTTTTTATTTTTGTTTGTTTTCCATCTAATTAATTATTTATTATTATTTTTATATATTTTATTTTTATTTCTGTTAATCCACGTAGAATGGTGGGGACGAAGTTTTTCCAACTCAATATTTTCGTCAGTCCAATTACACTATTAAATATTTGAACGGAAGTTGACATTTTGTGTATTTCAGAAATTTTGACCATAATTATAACAAACTTGAAAATTGTGACCATGAAAGTGTATTTTGCCTATTCGTATTTTACTATGGAGATAGAGAACTCAAAAAGTTAAATAATTGAAGGTGGGAAAAAAGGTGGTTCTGGTCTGCTTTACTGTTTGTCCCAAACACCCAATCGGGAAAAAAGTGAAAAAAGAAGGAAGAATAGCACCGGCAATTAATACAGGAGGAGAGTAATTAATTAAAAAAATTTCCCGTTCAACTACTCATCCCTGCCTTGCCTTCTCACCTTCTCTAGTTTCTCTCCACCGCGGTAAACACTAAACACACGTTTCAATCTCCCCACATGCTCTGCCATCTCAGCTGACACCCACTCTCTGCGCTCTTAGTTCAAGGTCGGGTTCAGACTTCAATCAAGGTGGAATCCAGCGACGCTTCTGATTGAACAAGACGAAGAAGAAGAAGATCGAAAGCGAAATTTAGGATTTTGGGTTTCTTCTCTCTATGGACCGGAATCGAGAAAGTAGACATCTTTGTTGATGCCGGAGACGAGCAACGGCGGCGGGTGATTATACGTAATAGTAATAAGGGAGGAGCGGCGGCGGGAACCGCATCACGAGCGAGATGCGCCGAGAGATGCTTGTCTGGGTTCATCCCAAATATTTCATTCTCTTCACTGGCATTCTAATTCTGCTCATTTTCGCCTTCTATAACTCACAAACGGTACGGTTTCTTAGCTCGACCAGTCTATTCGATCCCTTGATTGCTTCTCATTTGTTTTGTGGCAGTTAGCTTGGATCTGGTCGTGGTTGATGGTTTGTGTCAGGGTTTGGTGTGTATGTGATCTAATTTAGATGTGGGTTTCTTTTTCCTCGATTGGGAATCAGTGAAGTGAATGAAATTTGACTATTGGTTTTAGGTCCAGCTGAACCTTGTAGGGAGTTCCCTGTTGTGTCATTTTCCTGATCTACTCGTGCTGTGCTGATTTAGTCCATTCTGGAGATGCATATATTTGTTGAAGAGTTTTAATTGCGGTTTTATGTGATGACCGAAGGCAGAAGCTAGAATTGCTTGATCAGAAATCTAGGTGTGATCCTTGTTGCTTTCAACTTATGCCAGTCTCTTTGGTTATTTGTACTTTGTGGTTAGGATGTTGAACTGGAGATATGGATGCTCGTGGTTTAAGCTTGCTTGCTACCTCATTACCTAGTAATCTAGTGGTTGATGACTATATCAAGTGATTACCAGAGGAATAATCTAGGTGATAGGTGCTGGTGACTGAGTTTTTCAGGTGATTGAATTGGCTAGAATTCTTTGGAATCGAAGTATGCAACAGACTCGTTAAGAAGATTGATTCAGTGATCACTCATTTGAGATTTGAGAGTTGGATGCTCGTGGTTTAAGCTTGCTTGCGACCTCATTACCTAGCAATCTAGTGGTTGATGACTATATCTAGTGATGACCATGGGAATAATGTAGGTGATAGGTGCTGGAGAGTGAGTTTTTGGGGTGATTGAATTGGTAGAATTCCTTGGAATTGAAGTATGCAACAGACTCGTTAAGAAGATTGATTCAATGATCATTGTCATTTTCTAGTCAATCACCTTGTTTGAGATTTAAGAGTGGGGTCTTCTAAACAAGTTCATGCATATCCTGCGATTTGAGAGTAGACTTGCTTCTGGCCCAAGCTTGTTGTTATTTATAAGATTGTGTATGTACTCTTGCTATCTGTCCTGTTTTTTGCTAGCTTATCTCTGACGTCTAGTGACTGAAGTTCTTGTTAGTAGGTTCAGCTTTCGGGTTTAGTTTTCCTGTTTACCAGCAGTTTGTAGAACAGCTGTTTCATTGATTTGCCATGGTTTTATGTGTGGGCAGACTTTAATGACCATAGCAAGTAAACATATACTAATTTCATTTTGTCCAATTTCCATTATCCATTGTCATCTGTAGTGTGTTCCATTGGAGGTTGTTATTTGTGTGGCAATATGAGTCCTGTCATTTATATTTAACTTTACAGTACAGTCACCATAATGTTAACCTATAACTTTGAATTGTTGTGCAGGCTCAAGAGAATAGAGATGCGGAATATGAGATCACTCATAGAGTATACTTGGATATTGATATTGAGGAGCAACGTTTAGGTACTGATTTTTCTCCTGTAGTTTTGCAGGTCTCAAGATATTAATTTATCGCCAGAGCTACTTAATGTCACTCTCAATTTCCTTCATTTTCTACTCTTCACCTTTTATTAATTGGATTCATGCAGGTAGAATCGTTATTGGATTATATGGTCAGGTTGTACCGAAAACTGTAGGTATGTCTGTTTGTGTGCCATTGGAAGTTATTGCCTTCAAAGTATCACTGTGGTTAAATAGAAATTTCACCCAACTGTAAAAAAATGCTGAATTTCGGTCCTCACTTTTAAAACTAAGCCTAAAAGTGGCAATAAGTGGTCCCTTTGATCGTTCCTCCTTTGCTTTTAACTGTATGGCCTAAGTTATGGTTATCTCAGGCTAAATAAATTCTCAAAGTTTGGTAGTTTGCCAGTCAATATATTGAACATCTCTGACTAGTCCATTTCCCTTGTTCTTGTTTCCTAAGCTTTGTGTTCTTTTTTCCCCTGTGTTTGCAGAAAACTTCAGGGCATTGTGTACAGGTACCAATGAGAGTTCGTACTCATCAACTTTCTTCTTTTATCCTGTTTTACAACCTCTTGTATCTGATATCACCTTCTTTCCCCATTAAAGGACTGTACTTACTTACCCTTGTTCACTTTTAGGTGAAAAGGGCACGGGGACAAGTGGGAAGCCTCTCCACTACAAAGGAACACCATTCCATCGAATCGTCTCAGGGTTTGTGATCCAAGGTGGTGACATAGTCCATGGAGATGGGAAGGGGAGCGAATCCATCTATGGTGGTACATTTCCAGATGAGAATTTCAAAGTAAAACACTCCCATGCAGGCGTTGTGTCAATGGTAAATACAGGACCAGATTCAAATGGGTCGCAGTTTTTCATCACCACCATAAAATCCAGCTGGTAAGTAAAAAACCCTTGTCTCTCAACTCTTTGGCTCTAATGACCCTTCTTCCTACCATCATTTGAAGTCTTTAAAATCGGTCTATATGTGGTTGTTTCTCTGTGGTTAGGTTGGATGGAGAGCATGTTGTGTTTGGAAAAGTAGTTCAAGGGATGGACTATGTATATGCAATTGAAGGTGGAGCTGGAACTTACAGTGGGAAACCCAGAAAGAAAGTTGTCATTGCAGACTCTGGTGAAATACCAAAAAACAAGTGGGATGAAGAAACAAGATAACCCCCACAACCAAGAAAGTCCATAAAAGCCCCCTACTTTTTTTTGTAGCTTTGTTCAAATTCATTACTTGCTTCACTCTTTGTATCATCTGTTCTCATCATCACTAATTATTATTCATATAATCTTAAATCTGCTAGAAAAAAAAAAAAAAAGAAACCAGCCCCTCTTCTCACTTAGAAAATGTATTCCAAGCTTCATCTTTTTCTTCCCTTTTACCTTCTTCTGCCTCCCATGATTTTGGTTTTAAATATGTACTTTTGGCAAATGTGATTAATATAAACTTCCCATTTAATCTTTGCTTTGAGCACATTGTGGGGCTTTGGAAATTGGTTGTGTTAATTATCTGTTTGTGTTGGGCACGTGGGTTGTTCACATGGTCCTCCAGCTAGCCTTGGTATAATTGCACATCATTTAACACTGCTAAATCTTCTTCAAGCAAGTTGACAGTTTGGTTACTTTAAGAATTCCAAATCTAAATATCGTGGCGCTGCCAGAAAACAGCACCAAAGTAGTCTCCAATTTCACTACATACCGTACACTAAAAGCCCAGATTGTTAACAAGATGATTTACAGTTATTAATTTTCATATTCAATATTGTGCTGGGTAGCCGCCCTTCGCAAATTTCCCACTTCGCTTTGCCCGTCCCCTAATCCGCCGCTCAGTCAACTCATCTCCCAGAGCAATACATTCTCAGTACTATCAGCAGGTTCCTTCTAAGCTCCGACCACCGCCGCCATAGCCACCCGCTTTGGCGGAGTTCCAGATAAAGTTCGTCATTTTTCCCTTCTCAAGTTGTGATGGGAAGTGATACTGATGACCAAGAGAAAAGAATCGCGGCCCTTTACTACCCGCCTGCCACTTCATCATCATCTTCCCCAACTCAGCCGCTGCTCTTCAAGCCGCCGCTACACGAGCCCACCTCCTACCCTAATCCAGAATCTGACCCGACCCAGTTCCTCCAGATCTCTTACAACTCCGGTCACCGGCCGTTCAAGGACCTGCCCTTTCTCATCCTCTTTCTCCTGGTTCTTCTCTGCACTATCGGATTCGGCATCTTCTCAATCGTCCACGGAAACCCCAATTACGGCAACCTTTCATCCTTTACTTTCGACTCCCGATCGGCATCCTGCGTTCCCGCCAGCCCCAATTCAGCTTCCACAGTCGACAGTTTCTACTATTTCCTCGTCAATTCATTGCGCTCCAGTGGGTTCACCAGCGGGCTGATATGGGCAATCGTTATCACAGTGATTCTCAGTGGACCCATCTGCTTTCTACTGCTTTTCTCTCTCAGGCATTACACCAAATACCTTGTGTACGCTTCTCTCCCCTTCTTCATCGTCATGCCGGTTTTCTTTAACATCTACTGGTTCGTTGCATGCACGGTTAGCTCGTCCTGCAGCGATGACCTACCACTTGGTTATAGAATTTTCGTCATGTCTCTCATATTTGTGGTGATTGGGGTCCTGGTTTGGGTTCTAGTTGTGAATTGGTATCGGGTTGAGCTGACTATAAGCATAATTGGGGTTGCCGCCGATGCCCTGTACAAGAATTTGGGCTTGTTTGTGGCTCTGCCAATGTTGTCGTTTGGTTTGGTGGTGTACTATGCTCCCATTGTGGTGTTCTTAGTGTTTGCGAGGTTTAATGGCAAGATTGTGCCCAAGGAATCTAATGGGGAGTATCATTGTGGTTGGAAGGAAGATAGTTGGGTGCCTGCTTACTATACGCTGGGGGTTGTCACATTGTTGTGGTCTTCTGCAATAATGATGGAAGCTCAAGTTTATGTGATCAGTGGGACTATTGCTCAGTGGTACTTCTCAAAGAACGATTCCCCTCCTAAACGTGGCATACGAACTTCATTGAGGTGATTTCATTCTCCTTTTGTTTTTCAACATTCAGAAAATTGCCACATCCTCTTCATGATCTCATTGATGTGTCTATAAACTCCTGTAGGAATGCGTTTGGCCCATCTTCAGGCAGCATATGTTTCTCTGGTTTAATTATGTTTATCGTTCGCATGGTGAGAGGTGCCGTTGATAGTGCTAAACGGGAAAATAGTCCGGGGGTTGTAAATCTCGTTCTCCGAACTTGTGTCAATCTATTTCTCTCTTCAATCGAATTTCTGAACAAGTTCACCATCAATTTCGTGGCAATAACTGGTGAAGCCTACTGCACTTCTGCGAGAATGACTTACGAACTCCTGAAACGTAACCTTCTCTCAGCTGTCCTGGTGGAGGTTATCTCCACTCGTATATTGGCTGGCATCACGTTCGTACTCTCAGCTGTGTATGCAATTGTGGTGAGTAGTTGATTCTCATCTGTCTACCAGGTTTTGCAATTACGTCTCACACATTGTAATGCAAAATAAACAGCTTGCAATTTAGACAAATAACGTCAATCTGCAAAATGTCTGCATTTCTTGCCTATGCAGGTGTGTGCAATACTGAAGGGTGCTATGAGTCTCGGGACTGATGCATACTACGTCGCGATCCTTGCCTGGTTGGTGCTGATTGTGGTGTTGGGCTTCTTTGTACATGTGTTAGACAACGTGATCAACACGATTTACATATGTTATGCGATAGATAGGGACAGAGGTGAAGTGTATAAGTCAGATGTTCACGAGGTTTATGTGCATTTGCCCATCAGTAGAAACCAGAGGCCAAGCTTGGCTACTGATGCAGTTGTATGAGCGTAATGAACTACTGCATTATCTGCAGAGGGTTTCTTTCTAACTTTCTGTAACGTCGTTTAGTGTTTTGTTCTTCTTTGACGAGGTGAGAGATCATGATTGCCCGGAACCGGTGATCTGTGAATATACCTTTTGGGTTGCTGCTGCTGCATTGTAAATTTTTGAAGCTTGTAAGCAAGACGGGGAAACGATATGGATTCGTACGCAAAGCAGATTACCTTTATTGTAATAAAAGAGAGCGAAAAGGGAAAAGGGAAACGGGAAGAGAAGAACCAAAGAAGGGGAATGTTTGAGAGGGGGATGTTTCTGAACATTGTGAAGTTAACCGTTCTTTGTTTATTGACTGCATTTGAGAGGCCGAAAGGCTTCTAGTGTTTCGAATGTTATGTGCCAAGTTAGTCTTGTGACTCTGTTTCTCCTTCTGCTAATATTTTAGGAGAACGTGATTATCACATACATTTTTTTATGGGTGTTGGATAAAACCATTTGGATTTGGAATTTCAAATACTATATTATTTGTTTGTACTTTGTACATTAGTTACATATTATATTTAAATTTGTACCAAATTTATAGGGTGTTATTTGTGAATTTCAAATTTCTCAAAGCGATAGATTATACTTATATGTAAAATTTTAAAAGTTTAGGTACTGTAAAATAAATAAATAAAATATAAACGTACTAAATCATTATTGCGGTACTATTAGCTTTGCGAGAAGCAATTCATTTGTGTGTTGATTCAAGTTTGTCTCGGGCTAGAATTGTGGGTGATGTTAAGGTAATTATTGAAGAAGTTCAGGCATGTGTCATTTGGGATTGTAGTGGGGGCAATCTATCAGGAAATCTGCAGGGTGGTGTTCCAGTATCCGATTTAGAGTATCGGTTTTTTGGCAGGCAACAATAGGGTAGCCCATAGTGTGGCTAAAAAGGCCCTCTCTTTGGTTCCGCTAGGTTGTGGTGATTTCGATTTTGATGCTTGGCTCTTTCTGGAGGTCTGCATTTTGTAACATATTGTCGTGTTAATGCAAGTGATTGCTTCGTAAAAAAAAAAAAAGATTGCACCTTCGACTTTTTGAACAATGATACTAACAGAGTTCACACCTCTCCAACCAATGTTCGGAACGAGAGTGTTTGATGACTTTTGGAAACAACAAAGTTAAACTGCCCCTACTCTTATGGAGGTTCAGTGAGAGATATCTAAGAACTAAAGCTATGACTATTACCGAGAAAATATAAAATTTGAGATGTAGTGTCAAATGTTGGTTTTGGGACCCTTTCTCCTACTTATATCCATCAGGTGTAACTGCCATGGTTATGAGTTGGTCGGTTGCTACAACCGCCTCAGGATCCTCATCGTCGCTTTTATGACTAGTTGGTAAACTCCATCCTGGTGTTTACTCCCATCGTCTAGGGGACACCTCGTCCCATCTTGGTGTTTGGTTGGTGCTTGATTGCCTCAACGCCGGGCATGGTTGGTGTTAAGTCTTGTCACCTTGTCCTGACTGGATGAGGTTGAAGATCTTTGCCTTGCTTACTTGACGAAGTCTCAATCACACTCTTGCCAGGCCCAATGACTCCCCACTTAGCTCATTTGTTGTCGACTTGGTACCATCTTGTTACCTAGCCTACCTCATCAACTTGATATCCTTGTCTTGCTAGCAACCTCGATGAGGCCATGTTACCCACCTTGACGAGATGATAACTTAACTCCTTCACTTCTAAGTACATGGCCCTTTATTTATCAGGACTCCACACTTAGTTTTAGGGAGCTCGCTATGGTGCCAACTTATCATCTCGGTATCAAAACCATCTTGTCAATATGATACCCTACTGTCTTGCAGTCAAACCGGTCTCACCAACTTGTTAGCAAGTCCATCTAGTCTGATTGATGCTTTGGATGACTAGTCTTCTCCTCGAGATTACGTACCTAGTCTTGAAAAGGGAGAGATTATCCCTATCGACTTGATACCATGTCAGCCTGCCACCAATCCCGACTTGCCGATTTGGTCTCCATACTTAGCTTTTAAGAGCTTGTCAAGTTGTCCCTTTGGCAGCCAACTGGCCACCTCCGTCCCATCGGATTGGTACCCTGCCTATTTGATATATATACTTAGTCTTTTGGATCCTCATTAAACTCATCTTGTCGGGTTTTTTTCCATACTTAGTTGTTGGATGAATCCTGCCTTGTGAGGTTGATACCATGCCTCCTTGCCACCAAACCCATCTCCTTGGATTACGCACCACTGGTTCTCATCTAGACCTTCATTGATACGGCCATACAAGCATCAATGTAGTTCTGGTTTAGTGATAGAATAGTAATCTGTACATCCTTCTTCCATAGTAACAGTAATCCCCTGCCCTGTTACGCGATCCTACTCCTCTTCCTTTTATCCATCTTAGTTCTTATATGAGTGCTTCCCATTCATTTTATTTTTTTAGTCTTCATTAGAAAGACTATGATGGGGTCTCTTTCCTTGAGTAGCTGATAAGTGCATATTATACATGTTTTACCCTTCAGATCTTGATTTTTTCTTGACCATTTGTCTTGATAACATGCTTCTGTTTGCTTATTTAACACTAGGTTGTGTTTCTTGGTCATATTTTAGGTCATAGTACGCGATCGTTAACACGAGAGTGAGTTGGTTCCTTGCTACGCATCAGTTGAGAACCTCATTCGATAGAGAGATTTTAGTTTTGAACACCTTGATCAGTTGTTCTAGAGAATGATACATCCCTCTAAGCATTCAACTCAAGAGGGCTTTGATCGCTTTAATCGAGATTCAAGATTTAGTGAGATTTTCCGCATTAAGAGTAACAAGTGAAACAAGTTACAGATTATCAATCATTAATATGGTTAGTGGCTAGGGGGGGATCATACCTAAGTGAGTTCTCAACCTGTAATTAGATTAACGTTAACCATATTTTGCTAGTGTAGTTGTAGTTCTTTTATATGAAATTTTTAAGTTGAATAATAAAATGAAGCTGAATAAAGGAAAAGCTAGAGACACGTGGATTCTATATTTTATTACTCGTGCCACAATACTGCGATCCTGTCTTTGTTACAATTCGCATTGTCAGGATTACTGTAGTTTTAGCGAGTAAATAGCTCAACTACTCTTTTAACTGTTGTGGGATTCTTCAACCTATGACTGTTATGGCCTATAATACTCATTGAGTTGGATGACCTTGCTCCTTGGCAAGGTTTTTATGCTAAGGGTGATATATATAAATTAATGAAATAAAAAAGTAATACAAGAGAAAAAAAGCATCAAAGCTTCCAAGAAACAGACCAGCTTAGACTTAGATGGTCGAACATAGAAGGGATGATGGGAAGACAAGGGTGTTCCACACAAACAAATCCAAAAGAAAGTCCATTTCAAACACCAATCAATAGCAATACCAAAACCATGCGATGAAGCCTTCACCCAGCAAAGCACCAAAAGCATCAGGATTTGGAACATGACTCACACCGTCCTGTCCTACAAGAAATTTCTAAGCCAGGATTGGAAGAAGTTTGTTCCTCATTTCTCTTAGCCAAATTTCTGACATTGGTCGATCAATTTTCTTTGCCGCAATCAGCCAATGCGAGATTACGCTGCCAATTTTGAACTCGAGGAGTCTAGCAGCAGCCCTGGTGTTGCTGAACATTCTGTTATTCCTTTCAAGCCAGACTTCTCAAAGAAAAGCATGGAGCATCACTTTCGTACACCATTATTGTGGGCTGGACGGATATTGCTGTGGCCAGGCTTTTGATTATATCTTGTATATTTGATGTACTACTACTATCCCTACGAATGAAAACAAATCTGCTAAGAATATGCCAGACTTCCAGAGTGAACCTGCAATCAATGCAGTCAAAAGCTAACTTTAAAGCCTAAAAGCCTACGCTTTTACGCTTTGGAACCCCCAAATATTGTAGCTTTTGTTCAAAAAATCTTTTGCATCAAAAGCCCAAGTAAAAGCCCTCAAGCCCAGTAAAAGCCTTAGAAGCTAGCTTTTGACCGCATCTATATGCTTTTGATATCCAAGTATGATGATCATATTTGGTCGTGTTTGGTTCAATTTTTTGGACAAAAAAGAAAAATGATGCAGTCTTATTTGGTTTCTAGTCGGGTTATCTTTTCAGTCTTTGCTTTTGTGAATTTATCATCCCGAATTCACCGCCACTTTTCCACATTCTCGTATTTTCTCTGCCTCCAAAACCACATGCCACATCCAAAGTCCTGCTTCCAACGCCTTTCCCTTAGTTTCCCGCAACGTGCATCCAACTTCCACTCAGTAGGCTCCCATTGCTACAAATACTTGGACATCTTCACTCGATGCATCAACCCTCCCCATCCCTATAATTCTTATCCCACCCCTATGACTATGTTGTCGTCAAAGCTCATCTCCTTCAGCCTCACATTTGCCGCCACTTTCACTTATTAGTGGAGCTTGTCTATAACCCTTCTAGCTTCATCATTTTTTGTTGGTTTCCGTTTTTCATATTTTTTCTAGAAATCTAGAGGAAGGTGGTGAATTCTTGTTTAAAGGCTTATTAATATAGTTTATGTGGATGAGAGTAATATGTTAAATATGAGCTAGTTCATCTCTCTGTTCATATTTTGCATAATACAAAGTCATGGTAAGAATATTTCTATTAAAATTATATGATGTGCAAAAGCTTACGCTTTTGCTCTTCCGCTTTTACCCATCATTTCGCTTTTACCTAGAAGCTAGACTTTGCCTGCAATCGATGAATAGGTGGTTTATCATTTCTTTAGCTGCCTCGCGTAGGACACATCTACTGGGGAAGTGACATCCTTTTTTCTTTAGATTATTATGCGTGAGGGTTTTCTTGTGGAAGACGATCCAAGTGAAGGGACAAATCTTATTAGGAACGACCGACTGCTATATCACCTTCCATGGGAAATCAACCAAACCTGGGAATTATTCCCTTGCCAGCTGATCATATCCAGAGCAAACAGAGAAACAACACTAGGTTCGGGGCTCCAAATGATTCTTCCCGGATCTGTAGAGAAATCAGATAAAGATATACTATCCAAAAGCAACATTAGATTATTCTTCTCTCCGCCCCTCCCCGAAGAGTATATTTCAAAAGCAACTCCGAATTGACACGCTCACCATAAATACGGAGGATACATGCAACTCTCGTTGTTGAAAAAACTGCAGCAGCCGCCACTCGCAGGAAGTCCTCAGCAAAACAACGACTAGTGATGGAAAATTTGAACCTACCCCGTGGGTATTATCCGACCTGACCCTTGATGGGGCCGGTATTACCCGACCTTCAGTAGCATGGGACGGGGCATGGGTATCTATTTTCGACCCGCCCTGCCTAGCCTCATCCCGTTCTTAACTCATTCTATCTCAATTTCTTATAGTGCTATTCATATTTCTCCTATTTTGACTTTTCTTCAACTAATTATACTAGATATTTCAACTAGTTAGCCTCAATTACCCATTCTATTATCACTATTTTCATTCATAAAGTGTTTTCCCTCTATTTTATCGTAAAAAGTAAAAATTTTAATGTATAGTGGGTCGACCCGCCCATAGCATAGTTAGTAAATACTCCGTTTAATACACGTATATGTACCCATACATATTTTATCCGTTTAAAACTTCCGTATCCGTACTGGTGTCAAGCTGATACATTTTTTACCATTCATTTGATGGCTCCCGTACTAAACACGTATAAAACCAGTATAACACGTTTAATATTCATATTTAATGACTTAAATTGTCAACTTTACTATTATTTATATATTTATTTATTTTTAAAATAATTTATTTTTAAATATTTATGACTATTAACGTACTATTAAATGTAACATTAGCTTAGAGACAAAGTAAAATACCCGTACATATTTTATATGTAACTTTCCCGTATCGTATTTTACTAACTATGCCCCGTAGCGCGCAGATATCATCCGCCCCGCCCCATTGTAGCATGGGGCGGAGCATGGGTATTGAGGTACCTGCCCCGCCCCATTGCCATCATTAACAATGACCTTTCATCCAAAAAGCGAACCAAAATGATGTCCACACTCCCCGTCCTTGATCAACATGTGCGAATTTCCAGAAGAACTTCTTAAGCTTCGAGATGCTTGACCAAGGACTGCAACCCAAATCTCCTCGACATCCAATCCGAGTTCATACACGAGAACTTAACTTCAAATGCTTTGCTATTCACCACCCTACTTTTACTAATCATCGCCCTAAATTGGTATATAGAAAGTCCTAAACGTCCTTAATGAACATCATATTCTCATAACATAAATATCATATTCTCAAAACATAGATAACATAAATATCAAATTCATTAAGAGCATTTATGACTTTTTACATCAATTTAGGACGATGATTAGTAAAAAATAGGGTGATGAATAACAATCCTCAATTTGAATTAGTTCCCTATACGAGGAGTGTTTTTCGAGAGCAAACCTCCACCACCATTTGGTTCTGGATGTCAAGATCTCTAATGCCCAAAACCGCCTAATCGTCTTACTTTTTAATCTTGTTTTTTTTGGGAATAGTTCTTTCAGGTGGACATTGATCCCCCATCTGGTCCACTAGTTTGGTTTTTTTACTCCTTGTTCACTGAGCTAATTTCTCATCATTAGGGCCTTATAAGACTTGATGATTTCTTTGTCTTCATCTTCCATAGTTCTCTTCTGAGGTGTAAGCTGGTTCTGTTGTGGTGATACTTTCTGTTGCTTGTGCATCTGTTCTTTCCTTTTCCACATTTTTATTTTCATTGTTTGGTTTTTTCTTATCTCCCAAAAAATTCATACTTGCTCTACTGAGCCTTTCCTTGGCTCCTTCATCCTTCATGTACTTGACTAATGAAAATTTAGTCTTATATGCTATCTGATCCATCTCTTTGAACGATTTGTAACCCTATCTCTTCTTTATCCTTTCCAAATTATCAATCCTCAGTGGTCTACCATTGAATTGGCCTCTTCTCTTCTAGCTTTTTTCAGTAAGATATATTCTCAATCATATTTTGCCCTCATGGTTGTCCAGATCTCACTCTGTTCTTCCTTCTCAAGTTCGGATCTCCATGGTTTATTTTTTAGTGGTCCTACCCTTAGTTGTGTGGTTGGTGCAAGCTAGTTTGGGATGTCCCACTAGTTCGCAATTGAAACCGTAGATTAGATAGGTAGCTTTCCGTACTTAAATTCAAAAATCACAATCTCGTCTTTTGTGTTGACATTTAGTTTCAGTTTAATTGCTATTCTGATAACCTTTTCTATGCGCAGCCTAAGGAAATCGTCCTAGATATAATCTCTTCTGCTATCAACCCATACAAGTTTGCCTAGCCTTGCTCCAATCTTGTGAGCCATCTCTGTAGTTTGCAAAGCAACAGGTAAGAGAAGTATTCTATCCCATATGTCCACGATAACGAAATCCTCTGGTTTGACTAGCGAAGAAGGTCTGCAGTTTTGAAAGTTAACAGATTGTTCTCATAGTGCCATGACCCTCCATACATGACTATCTCTATCACTTCTTTCCATAACTTGGAAAGCAAACATCTGATCACCAAACTCCGTAATTTGAGGATTTACTCAACGCTATCTTCATTGAATTTGTGTTCAAGGGTTATAGAGCTATTAATCTCCTCACAAGGCCTAGCAAACTCAGTGCTCGGGCCATAATCGAATCATAATCCTTCTCCTCTATCAACAATGACTCTTCATCCTCAATTGTTACTTTATGTTTTTGTGTAGCCAATCCCTCCGCTGTGGTTGTGTTTGTCTCCTCCGTGTCTTTGACAACAACAATAATACCAGACAAAGGTTCCTGTTGAACAACCTCCCTACTCCCTGCTCAAGTTATGAATGCCTTAGTCTGATGCAACCATAATTTTTACGGTTGTTTTCCATTTAAGACTAATATGCAAAGAAAAATTTGTATTTGTACTCCGGTTAAAAAAGATCGTTCCCTTACCCTAATCGTTCGCTTACCCTAATCGCAGGAGGCTGATTAGGGTTTCAAATTATTTTATCGAAAAAAACAAGAAAAATGAAAAGCGAGACCCTTTGATTAAGATGATGACACCTTACCGCAAGAAACTCTCACTCCTCTCCCTCTTATCGCTTAAGGAAATAAGAGGCTAACACTAGCTTGGCGGGTAAGAAAAGCAAAAAGGCTCTCAGTTGCAAAGAAACTCGTAGTTGAAACTCTTCTAAAGAAAAACTAACGAGAATAAAACTATAAAAGCTTTATAGGTCCCAAATCCGTGAAAAAAAAGTACCCATGTGAGAAATGATTCCTTCTCCAAACCAAAGAAAAACCTACAATCACTTGTCAGCTCAAAACCTTAAATGAACTAAAAAACCTAGATTAGGTTTCTATTTCGCTGCTCTCGACAGATGAGAGGAAAAAATTGTTACCTATCTAGTAGTATCTATCTACTTCACGATCCTTCCATAAGGAAAGCTCTAGAACATAGATATGTTCAGGGCAATGGAAACTTGATGTGCTCATTGGAGGGAGCAACCACGAATCTATACAGAAGTGACATATTTCTTCCATTATTTTTAAAGTTCAATTGTTCACAACCAATAGAATTCGTGGACACTAACAAAACCTTTAAACAAAACAGCACTTAACACTTTCGTTTCCTCTTTTGCCTAAGTACTTCAAATTATACAAATTTCACAAGAAAATTGGTTTACAAGGGGGAAGCAAAGGGAATTTGGAAAACCAATCCTAACAAGAAAAGACAAAGCGGAACAATATAAATAAAAAGTTACAAGAAAGACCGAAAAATGAAAACAAAAATATAAACCATAGCGCCGCTGCTCCCTGACCCTTCTAGCAAGAAAACTTTCGACTTTCTCGAGTCCCCTTCAGCAACAGCTTTCGCCACAACTCTCTTTCTACCTCCGACGAGCTACTTTCTCCGGCGACGACAATGGTTCTCGAGGTAAGTTACCGGCAGCTCATCCCCTAAATTTATCCCGTCCCGACTCATTTACCCGGCCCACCGTCTGTCTTCTAGTATCGAATTCGATTCAATCGCGGCGAAACATAAGCTTCGATGAAAAACGGGTTCCTGTATTTTTTCTGACGATTTGGTCTTGTTATCAGGCGACTATGATATGCATTGACAATTCCGAATGGATGCGCAACGGAGATTACACTCCTTCCCGTTTCCAAGCGCAGGCCGATGCCGTCAATCTCATCTGCGGCGCTAAAACTCAGGTACTTTCTTAGAAAAGAGTTGAATTTTAGGGTTTTTGGCCCTCGATTTGGTTTGCATGATCTCTCTTGCTTCTTGGTTGGTCTCTGGTTTAATGATTTGATTTGGAAACGTCGCAGTCGAACCCGGAGAATACGGTAGGGATCCTGACGATGGCCGGGAAAGGAGTGCGTGTTTTGACTACTCCCACCACTGATCTTGGGAAGCTCCTGGCTTGTATGCATGGTACGGGTAATGTTACTGAAAACTTTGAGGTCGTTTATACTTTATATACGGAATTCGTGGTATTTAGGTTATGTGTTATGAGTTGGGGATAAATGGCATTCTGGACTGGTGGTTATGGGAAAAAAGTTCTCTAATTTGTTGGTACGAGTTCAGAAAATATGTTAGAAGATGGAATGGTTTTAAAATCTAAATCTGGCTCTAACTTAGATGTCTCACCCGAGCTGCAACTCTGCCTATTTTGTATAGTAGTGGGAACCTTAGTATTGGGATTCTGATCACTGATTGTAAGCAGATTGCTACAGTTTTCTTCACGGTGACTTTTACATCCTAATAATCGTTTTCATCAGACCACTGGAAGTTTCTCATTCTAGTTTCTCTACAGGTCTGGAAATAGGAGGTGAATTGAACATTGCATCTGCAATCCAGATTGCTCAATTGGCTCTTAAGCATCGTCAGAATAAGAATCAGAGACAAAGAATCATAGTGTTCGCTGGAAGGTAGCTCATTTGTTTCTTTGAGGAGTTTATTTGTTCGCTGAACCATACATCTGAACTCAAAACTACTTTGTTTTTATCTGCACATGTTTGCAGTCCAATTAAATATGATAAGAAGATGCTTGAGTCCATAGGCAAGAAACTGAAGAAGAGCAGTGTATCTCTTGATATTGTCGATTTTGGCGAAGAAGATGAGGGGAAGCCTGAAAAATTGGAGGCCCTCCTAACAGCCGTCAATAACAATGATAGCAGCCATATAGTTCACATTCCTCCTGGTCCAAATGCCCTCTCTGATGTTCTCATCAGGTATGTTGCTTTCTTTTGTGTATTGCAAGACATGTGCAATATGATTGATCATCGTGTGAACTTGTCATAGTTTAGAATAAAATTTTAAAGATAAGAAACTTTTATAAGTTTGTTGATATGGAATGAGGCTTGATATATTTGGTGGGGGGATTGGTACCATGGGAAGAAAACTATCATACGGATTTACTTAATAATAGTAGTAACTTGGAACATGCTTTGAATAGTCCGGAGGCTGATAATCTATCTACAAGCGATGTGCCTGCTATGCATGTTCTTTTAGTTAATGGTATGGTAAGTAGTTAATGCAAATGTTTAGATACTTGTTGACATGGAATGAGGCTCGATTGATATACTTATATTTACCTTTGGTGGGGGATGGGGACCATGGGAAAACTATCATACTGGTTTACTCAACAATAGTAGTAACTAGGAACTTGCTTTGAATGGTCCGGATGCTGATAATCTATCTACAAGAGATGTGCCTGCTATGCATGTTCTTTTAGTTAATAGTATGGTAAGCAGTTAATGCCAATGTTTAGATGATTTTGTCCTTTGCAGACATCTGATTAAACCACAACTTCGTTTTATCATGTTTTTGCAATAAGTTTTTCCTTTATGTGGAGCTGGAGCTAATTATATGGTAATCACTGTATGTAACTATTTCACCAAGCCTTCTACTCATCAAGATTGGTTTTTTTCTCACTTGGCAGCACTCCTGTATTCACCGGAGATGGAGAAGGAGGAAGTGGCTTTGTGGCAGCCGGTCCAGCAGCTGGCGGTGACTATGATTTCGGCGTTGATCCTAACATCGATCCTGAGCTGGCACTTGCCCTTAGAGTTTCCATGGAGGAAGAGAGGGCAAGGCAAGAAGCTGCTGCTAAAAGGGCTGCTGAGGAAGCTTCAAGCCAAAACCAAGGAGACGAACAATCATCTAAGTTGCAGGATACAACAATGGCCGACACCACTGGAGCATCGGCAGCTGTGGCTACTGATGCTGCTGAACCAATGGTTGGTCCTAATTTCAGTTGGCTCTTCTCATTTTTAGCTTCATGTGCTACCTGTTTGTTGGTTTCTTGTCTGTTTTTTATCCACCTTAATAATAATAGCTTGACTTTGTCTTTGTGAATAATGTTGCAACAGAGTGAGGTGGATGCACTGCTACAGCAAGCGATTGCCTTGTCAATGCAAACTCCTGCATCGGATTCAGCCGTCCGAGATACTGATATGTCGGAGGCAAACAATGAGGACCAGGACTTGGCAGCTGGTGAGTTTTGATATAGTGCCGATATGTGTGTGTTCATGTAGATTTCATTCCATGACCCTCACTCGTTGAATTGCTTTTGTTGTTGCTTGCAGCGCTTCAAATGTCCATGCAGGAAGGTGAAAAGGATTCATCAGGTCAAATGGATATGAGTGAGGTGCTAGAGGACCAAGCCTTTGTGTCATCAGTCCTTGCATCGGTATGTATACACTAAGTACTTATATGAATACACTTCACCCTTAATTTCTTATCTTATATTGACTATACTGTTTCTGGTATGCGAATATTGTTCCATTTGCAGCTTCCTGGTGTTGACCCTAATGATCCTTCCGTCAAAGATCTGCTTGCATCTTTGCATGGCAAGTCCGAGGTTCGTACATACAACTTCTGCAGAATTAGATTTACAACATCCTTATTGAATGTTCTGTGAAATGTTTCTGACACATGTTTCATTTTTCCTCGTCGCACGGTAAACCAGTCTTCTGATCAGAAGAAGGATGAAGAAAAGGCAGCAAAAGACGACGAGAAGTGAAGAACTATGTGCTCGATTAGTCGCTCTTTTATCTCTCTCCCAAGCAATGTTTTCTTCTACATCTGGGGCATGGCATCCATGTAAACTTATTTATATGCCTTTTCTAGCTGTATTGTATTTGATCGCCGGGTAGTTAATTTGGACTAGAAGGATTGGATGGAACTCTTTTGTTTCCCTTTCCAATGCCAGTGAGTTCTCTTTTCAACTTATCTTCGCTTCTGATCTTAATCAGTTGGATTCAAGTGGATATGGAACCGTCTCAAACATGGTGTTTGCTTCTTGGTACTTTGTAGACTTGCTCTATCATCCTAACTTCACGATTACCAACCGAAGAACAGAGGGACTGTTGGCTCAGTTTATCTGTCCTATTTGAGAATCTGACGTAGTGGATGATCTATTATCAGAAATTATCATACAATTGGTCGTTATAATTTCTAGTCATGTCGAGTGTCTTCTCATGTTCGTAGTCGCAACCAAAGGGAGCGAGACAAGCGAGATGAATCCAAAAACGCAGTTTCTCCTCCATGAAACCGATTGATGGAACCTGAAACAAACCCCAATACACAACGTGAAGGTAGCCTATAAAGGGAAAACCAATCAATCATATATATTTCCAGCCGTGGCTATGATTGATAGAATTCCACCAGAAGCTTTCAGAATTTCGCCCAACTTGCAAAATGCCACCCACTTGTTTCTCCTCCAATGTACAGTGAGAGCTGAAGAAGTTCATGATTATCTGCTCACCAAACCCATCGAGTAGTTCCATTAAGAAGCCGTCATATATCAGGAGAAGAATAATTATGAGCTTGTAACGTCTCTTATCTTCCTGTGATTTTCATGGGTCGCTCTCGACCAACATTAACTATTAAGAACAAACAGTTTCAGCAAGAGGCATCGGTTATGTGCATGTTTCAAGTTTAGCCAGTCTAAATTGATTTTTATGAGATGTTTTAGAAGTTCTATATTCATTTTGCTCGCCCTATCATCCTCATAACAGTGGCGGAGCTATATATATGAACTCCGAAGCGAATTGCACCCCCCCCTTCATAGTTGATTTCAGGTTATAAAATGTGAATCATATAATAATCAGACGTTACACAATGGTAGGTTGGTAGGTTATCGACACCCTCTCGTTCAAGACTCGAGTTCAACTCCGACAGGCTACCGTGATTTCTTAATATTAGCCTCTCGCCCAGCATGACCATTTGTCGTCTTGTTTCTTTTTATGAATATGTTGTCAACATTTCAATCGATGTTCATGAGAATTGAACTCAATCGGGAAAACCAGTTCAATAATTACTAGTTCATACAACTACCATCAATAAGAAGGATTAGTGGTGGATGCCAATATAATGAATTAAGAATTAAAACCAACTTGGTAGGTACCATGTCGGTGGCCCATCCCATATGAGATATGGACAATTTTTCCTTAGGGCTTCTTCCCTCCCATAACATCACATGAAGGAACATGCTTGTCTCCTAAGTTAGGGTCCATTTTCCCCTTCTTGGTTGCGGTGTTCCTTAGACCCCTAGCGTTTGTTTTTGTGCAACATTCTTCTACACACTGCATGGATGGAGTGGAGCTAGAATATATATATATATATTGGGATAATGCTAATCTAATCATCCTTTAAAAAATTGCTGTATATAATCTTTTCAACAAATGTTGGGATGTTGGCTCTTACCTGCCTTGCATGTATCAGACAAACTCATGGGGATCGCTCCAGCCTTCACTACACTTGGGCTGTGCCTCGATTTTTTCATTCCACCATTAGCCAGACTACATGCATGATACCATGGGATTAGCTCCCCTTCGCAATTACAAATCAACCTCTCTCTCTCTCTGAGCTAGAAATCTCAACAAGTGTCTAAAAATCTAACCTCAAGAGATTGAATTCTTGGTGAATGGCAGGGGCTAAAACATTACCAACTACTCCGACTCTTAAATTTATTACAAATTTTAAATGTAATTTTATCTATATTTCTAGTTACTTTTAATTTAGCTTCGCAATCGGTTTATGAGCATGTGTATTTTGGAAACTAATTGTACACATATATTCACATATTGACCAAAACCATTCATCTGTGCCTCCACAAAGTAAAGAGCCAACAATAAATAGAAAAACATTCACGGTATGAAATCTTTGTAGACCAATTTTTTTGGTAAAAGGACTGAAATATTTCAATGATGATAAATTGATACTAACATACTCTCGTGCGTATTTTCCCAACATCATCACACGACCAACGTTGTGAAGGATTTTTATAATAAGTAAGGATCCTCTCGATCAATAACAATTAAAAACGTATCCATACAACATTCTTAATACATACTAACTAGTGACCACTCTTTATCTAGACAAACCCTTTACTTATGTGTTGATTATTTTTTATAGGATTTTTGTTATAGGAACTTATGTGTTGATTATAACAACAAGATTAGTTGATCTTGCATTGACTTTTATTAACACAAACCCAACTAATGGCTCCTTCCTCATTAATATCGTCTACCAAGAAGAAGGCATGACTCTTGGCCTGTTGGAGACACAGAGTTCTCCTATGGTTTCACCCTCTCTTATATCTTCTGTTGTCTTCTAGTTCTACTACTGTACTGCTGCTTTGCTTGGACGCGAAGAGATCTGAACTGTTATATTTTATATGTGTGTTGAGGATATTAATTACTTAGTCAAAAAGTAATTAATTCCTTGTTCTACAAGTCCCTAGTTTCCTTGTTCAAGTAAAAGAAGGAAACTTGGTTGTCATTAGGGTTTTAACCCTAAGTCTCTCTATATAAGCTTAGCTACGAACATGTCGTAAGCAAGCCGTCACAATGTAGTCCCTAATAAAATATCAGTCGTGAGCTCGTTTCGAGCTCACCGTGGATTAGTCTCGATCAATCAATCGATCGAGGATACCACGTAAAATCTTGTGTTCTGTGTTCTTTCGTATTTCCGCATCATCAAATTCTACATGGTATCAGAGCAAGCTGTCAATCTGATATTTTATCAGAGCGAAACTCGATCCCTTCTAGAGTTTTGAGCTTCCGCAGTCCACATTCGTTGCCTCTTCGTGACAACATCATCGGTTCACGGTCAATTGTGTCCAGGTTGTCTAGCAAATCCTCCATCTTTGTCGGTCCCGCCAAGCCGATGTCTCACATCGTTGGTCTTAGTCGGAGTCGCCGCCATCCCTTGCACTGGCGGAACCTCATCTCCTTCGACAAAACAGAAGTAGAGAAGAGGGCATCCGACTTTCGCTTTGTATCGTCCATGGCGCCCAGTCATCACCGGCAGTCAAGTCTCCGCCGTCTACTAGTCATCTCACCGCCATCAATCATCACCGGAGGAACCCTAAGTCAAGAGAGTTGTTGTGATTCCGGTTCAGCGCGCCCTTGCGAATCATGAGATAGGTATTGTCGCCGGCTGTCGAGGTCGTTCTTCCATCCCCGTCCGTCCCTGTCAACATCTACAATCAAGGGAACCTCGCGGATTATGTTGTGGCGCAACTCATTAGCAATCCATTTGAAGAGAAGGCAATCCAAAGTTCACGTCTCGAAAATTGATGGTAGGTTCCAGTGGGATTTTTTTTTTGGGTCCGCTTCCCTGAACTCATTAAAGGTCAACAAGTACAAGCTAGCTCTCTCCATCACGGCTCCATCTGGTGCCAACAATTATAGTTGTTGCTACCTGTCCATGCTACTCGTCCATGTTCCAACAAGGCTGAGGCAAATATTTCCAATGCATACTGTTTTTGGTCTCAATCCAAGTTCAGCCAAAGCTTGTGTAGTTCTACGCATCTCCATCTCAAAGAGCAAGCTGTCAATCTGATGGATAATCAACAAGAAGTCATCTGCAGAGTCAGGCAGCAAGCCAATCTTCACCAACATCACAGTCATGGCGTTGAAGGCAATCATGATCGGCATTGGTCATCTCTTCAAATAGTCAGTGTTGGGGAGAAAGAACAGCTACTGTCAACAAATTAAATTTTCAAGTCATCAAGCGAGGAAGTCACGATCAAAGAACCGATCGTCCCCTCTGCGTTCAGCATCGGTCAATGTTGAGTCATCACCATTCTAACTTTCAAGCTGGGCATTCACATCGTTCATGCGTCAGCTTGAGGGGGAGAATAGGGAGTCAAATCGTACAGGAGATGCAGTCAACCATCTCCACCATATCATACGGATAGACGTAGTCAATCGTCTCCGTCATGTCATTCAAGAGACGCAGTCAACCGTCTCCGTCAGGTCGTTCAAGAGACGCAATCAACCGTCTCCGTCGCGACATTCAAGAAGATGCAGTCAACCATCTTCATCAGGTTGTTCAAGGGAGAGAGTCAGTCGTCTCCAAATCAGCCTCGTCCGAGATGTTATTCATCTCGAGTTATGTTGTTCAAGCTTGTCATGCTTGTTCGTCACATTTCCTTTTTCAAGCTCGACATTCTTGTCATTCATGTCTTCACTTGAGGGGGAGTGTTGAGGATATTAATTACTTAGTCAAAAAGTAATTAATTCCTTGTCCTACAAGTCCCTAGTTTCCTTGTTCAAGTAAAAGAAGGAAACTTGGTTGTCATTAGGGTTTTAACCCTAAGTCTCTCTATATAAGCTTAGCTACGAACATGTCGTAAGCAAGCCGTCACAATGTAGTCCCTAATAAAATATCAGTCGTGAGCTCGTTTCGAGCTCACCGTGGATTAGTCTCGATCAATCAATCGATCGAGGATACCACGTAAAATCTTGTGTTCTGTGTTCTTTCGTATTTCCGCATCATCAAATTCTACAGTGTGGGGATCAAATTGGTAAAAGAGAAAAGAATGTGGGCTTTCCTATACTGATCAGATCCCAAGATGGGACCGCAGTACCTCTTTTTTCCTTTTCTCACTATTATATGCCTTCATTCTATTTACGAATAAGACTTTGGAGTATACAGTCTGCCAGCACCGTTCAGAATGCACCTAGTTTGCAGCGATTTGTCACTCCCTATATAAGAGCCGTCAACAGGAAAACTTGCTCAACTTTGCACGAGCAAAAACCATGAAAGATGTGTCCCATGTACCCGTTTTACATTGTAGAATTTCATTACTTCAAGATCAGATCTTGCTATCCAATTGATAATTTTCATAACTAATAACCAATGTTTAGAAAACTTTTATAACAAATTACTTAAATGGTTTCGTTCGTAGCAGATCAAATTGGATCAAACTAACATTTAGATAGCACCAAATCAGAACAAATATAATGCACTCCGTTCTTAGTTCTACTAAATTTCTAAATATTAAAGGAAAAGGATCGGGCCGATTGGATCAACCAAATCATACTAAATACATTTTTAATCAGGTCATGATTCTCAAATTATCTTTACTTTTGGAAAACAACGTTTTTGGAAAGAAACTTCA